AATGAGAGAAGCAGGAGGCAAACCCGAATACTGGCCCAAAAAATGCAGTGTGGCTAATGTAGCAGACTGGTGAAGTATCATGCATCTAGAAGTAAGGTTAAATTAGGATTCAAGTTTTCAAGTTGCCTTGATTTTAACATCTGAAGAGAGAGGTGCTCAAATCCTGCATCAGTTCACATGGACACCGACATCCTTCCCCATTCCTTCAGTCTGTTGGTTTTGATCAACAGGCTGATGGAAGCAGCTATTAACATCATTTTCTACTTAGCACATGATTTGCTTCTATAGTTCAAAAAGTTTTTGAACTCCCTAGAGATCAATTTCTTCTATTAAATGCATTGTGATGGCTGAATCACGACTTTGGCATGGGCTTCAAATACCTTTCACATACAGGTCAGACTTAAATAACGCTCATGAAACTGGGAGCGATGCCTGTCCTGTGGCCTTTCACCAGTCTGCTCAAGACCTCTCTCCAAATTGTAATGTTTGATTTATACCGCAAGCGGAATAAATGGACAAGGAGGCTAACATAGCTTGCCATCCTGCTTTGGATAGAAAATGTCAGATTTTTGAGGTAAACAGATGATTTATTATGCTTCATATTTAAATAGATATACGTCCCTCCTTCACAGAGTGCACACTTGCATTAATGGGGTTGATTTCCCTGGATTAAACCCTCCTGTGCAGCACATATAGGTTTGTTTCACAGGATTTCTGACTGTTTATCTTTTTTTAAACCAAAAGATGCTGGAACAACCTTTGGCTCCCGTCTGGCAAGCCTCCTGTACAAGGTATAGGAAACTACACTAGGTAGGTGTGCACCCACCTACCACTCGCTTTGGTACATTTTAACACCGAGCAATGCATTGAAGGTCTGATCCATGAAATGCCAGAGACTGGTTTCTTTTGTGGGTTGTGTAAAACACAACTCCCCACGAACAATCCAGCAGCTGTGTTACTTTTGCATATAGGTTTTTCCAAGGGTTTACAGCTTCATTTCAGTGCGTCACCCCTTCCTCCACACACACCTGATCTGCTAATTCCAACCTGCACGGGAGGTGGACATGCCTTCAACATGCTTGCTGACGTTTACTACTTTCCTTTTGGTTTTTGGTCAGTGTTTGGGTTTGGAATAATTTTTTCAACATCACTGTAGGAAATGGCATAGTCTCAGTCTAAGCCCTTCCTTCTCTGTTAAAAATATGGCAGCGTATCAGAGCTGCGCTCTTAGCACAATTTCATTATATGATCATTTTGCCTTCTGCAAATGAGGGTCTTCACTGTGGGCCACAAGAGGGGTAAAGGAAACTCCAGCTGATTCCCTGTTTCTTGGCCATAGCTGGAAAGCCCATTGCAAATTATCAAGCTTGATAAAAACACTAACAAATAACTAAACAGCCATGATTACATTTTAAAAGCACATGAAAATCAAGAACTCACGTCTCCTCTGTATCTTTAATTCAGACAGTACCCTTTTCTATGTGCATTTGAAACACTTTTAAAGGGTGGTGGGACACTGGAACAGGTTGGCCAGAGAAGTCGTGGATGCCCCATCATCACAAGTGTTCAAGCTCAGGTTGGATGGGGCTTTGAGCAACCTGATCTAGTGAAAGATGTCCCTGCCTACGGCAGGGGGTTTGGAACTAGATGATCTTTGAAGGTCCCTTCCAACCCAAACCATTCTATGACTCTATGATCTTTTCTCCTCCAAAAGCACCATAAAAACCACCATCAACTTAGATCAGCTGACAATCTGGATGATTTTGGGGCTGCTCCTTGCAGACACAAATGCAATCCTGACATCTGGATACCTCCCTCCAGCCATGCCCACAAACCGTCACCAGCCTCAAACACTCCTTGTGTTAACAGTGTTGCTGCTGCTTCCCAGGCTGAGAGCAAAGACCAATGGAGCACAAGCAGCAGGAGTTAAAGCTACCTTTCTTTACAATCACATCTAAAAATACGGTCTTCTAATCAACCCAGTATGGTACCTACCCCATTTATTGTGAAGCTCTGAAAGTCTGTGGTGTGGTGAGCTGGAAACAGCAGGGACTTGATTTATATTTAAGGCAGGTAAATGCCACCCTGAAGAACTAGATCCTGTATCTGTGTCTGCTACAAAATGTAAAGCTGGACAAAACTTATGCCTCTTATGGGAGAAGCTCCCAGATAGCTCCTATCGCCTTCTTTTTCTGATTTACAGAAGTGCTGAGTGCCTGCAGTCACAACTGAGCACAGCTGGAGCCTGGCTGGAAATCTGGGGAGAACATTAAAATGGCCAATTCCCTGAAAAATTAAGCACTAGGTTTGTCAAACCCCAAATGAATAGCCATAACTCCTCATATGTGAAATAAAATACTGCCACCCATCACAGTATCTCAGTGGGAAGATCAGTGATTGATGTCTGCACGGCACTTTGTATCTTGGCAGGTGTACAGGAAATCTCAGAAGGGAAAAAAAACCCCAAACAACAAATCTGGGGCTTCCTAATGAATGAAGCCAATAGAAAAATATACCAAAAAGCTGCCTTTGCACCCTGGTCTCCCTCAAGCATCAGCAGTGAGTTCAGGGCTTCAGATCTGCGGACCTTTTCAGCTAACACAGTAAGCTTATATGGTAGAAAGTTGTGTTTGTTTTGTGGCATTGCCTTCGTCTACAGGGGTGAACAGCTGCTGGTAGCTGTGGGTTTCACAGTTATTTGCTAGACTGCACAGAGGGCAAACGTGGAAACAACGGGGTTTAGTTCAGCAGGTAAACACTGGCAGCGGTTAGAAACCCTTCCCACTCACCTCTGGTTTCCCTTATTCCAGCTCTATGGCCCCCAACCCCTTCCCTCCTCTTGCAGAGTACACCTGAGCTGCTCAACAGAACATCCAAAAAGAGGAAAAACATGTTTTCTTTTGCTTAATTCTCAAAAAAGAAAAAAAAAGCGCTCATCCATTTTAGCTGCAGTTTTCTCAAAAATGCAATTTGAGGCAGACACTCAGCCTGGAAACTTCAATCTGAACAGCTGAAGACTGGCAAAGCCTCATTTGCAACTGAAAACAGTGGAAAGTGTCTGGCAGACTAAATTACAGGCAATTATATTATTTTACAGAATACCCCTAAGAGCAAAAAAGCCTTTTTTTTTTTTCTTTCTCCTTTGCATAGACCCTGCCATTAAATCTTTGCCTGCGGATGATGAAAGCTTGCCTTTCCTCCAGTGTGACCGCTACAGTATGTGGAATATCAAGTGAAAATATGCAAGGATCCTCCGTATCACATTCAATAAAAGCAAGTCGGTCTTCAGACAACGTTCACTGAAGATATTTAACATCCCCAGTGCTGCTTCAAGAATCAGGTCTTCAGTTATCAACATCACGACAAAGCTCTGCAGAGAATCAGCACAAATAGCAACTGTGGTTTCATGCAGAGGAAGGAAAATATCACATAAAGCTTTAAAAATTGCTTCCTAAGATAACAGATGAGAGGGGCTGTGGAAGAGTGCTAGCTAATAGGACAGGGATGAGTGAGCTGGACACTGAGTGGTGGGACAGTGGTGGCATCTTTTGTAAATTTGAAGCAATGGTGCCTGTATATCTCTGAAAAGAGTAAGGAAAAGCTCCTTGGCAGGCAGCAAGTTTCCAGATATGGCACACGAAGACAATTTTTTTAGCTGGGATCCCAAGCACACAGAACTAAAAACCAGTAGTAAATCAAGGAAGGCATTACTCCAGCGAATGAGCCATCCCAGGCAGCAAGCAGGGGATCTTTAGAAACGGTATGCATGGACAGAGCTGGCTTTCGAGCTCCGCAAAACCTGTGGCTACCTTGACCTGGGGAACATAAACCTTCGTGGGAAATCCCAGATGTTTTTATAATATAAAGAAGCTGTAGACATTTTTCTCCTAAGGTTGGCTGTGAAAGTATTTAGCGATCACGAGTGCTTAAAGGTCCAGCTGGTCCCTAGCACGTATCATAGCCGTTAAATCTGCCTGGCTGGGACACATCAGCACGGTGCAGCTGGAACTGTTGCAGAGGCCTGACCCTGCACTGGGGATTGGCACAGGGTGCTTCTCCTAGTCTTGGCAATCCCCAGTCCCACGCCCTCGTTTCTCTGGACCTCTGCTTTAGCTTTGTGTGTTTTCCCTGCTTAAACAGTAAACAACCAGGAACAAGGATTGCCTTATGCTGTTTGTACCACGAACACTCTTTGTGAGGACCAACACGTCCCCCACACAACAACTAACGTGCAATTTAGGCATAGATGACCTTTTCTGCAAGTTGCCTGTTGCAATGTATGACAGCCGCGGTCAAAACGTGCATTGACCTTAGAAGCACAATACAGAATGAACCTGGAAAAAACAGCAGCATTTTTGGGGAGCTATGAACTGATTGTCTTACACTGTTACCAATGATCTCCTTACAAGTCCACTATCATTTGAAAAGGCATCACCGCTGCTGGTGTTGTCAGTGGAGAGTCCAAAAACGGGCCAGGCACTGATGTGGCTGGCTTTTCTTGGCATGCCGCCTAGCCAGAAACCATAATGGAGAGGATGCACCACGTTCACTGTTTAAGCAATGACACGTAGAAAAAACAACCTGAAGATCAGCTGACATGCTCACTTTGCATGAATCTCAAAAGCAGAATTTATTCTGAAGGATGGATCATGGCTCGCTCCTGGGAAGATATGTAAAGCAAAGCAGGTAGCAAGCCAGAAACCTCTGCTGCTATTTTCCATCCTGGAGTTATTGCATTGCTGAAGCCCATCACTGCAGCTACCCCAGCCCGTTGAGCAGCGTGGTGCCAGGCATGGTTTGAGGCAGTCCCGAAGGAGGGCATGCTGCTCCTAACTAATGGGTTGGCACAGCACCCTCCCCTCTGAGATCCTGGAGCGTGACCACGCACCTGCAACAGCCAACAGCAAACATCTACCAACCACCACGGTCACGCTCTGATGGCTGACGTGGCGCCTCCCCCTATTCATATCGGACCTGCTACACCTTCAGCAGAAAAATACCTGAGAGACGCTTGGCTGGTCTGGCACTGAACAGGGATTGCACGAAAACACTGAACATGTCGTCCACAACAAAAGCCTCCGTAGCATCTGCGTACTCCTTAGGAACCACGCTGCTCAGGGCAAGGCCGAAGAACAGGCTTAGAATCCAGATCATCACAAACAACATCAAAAAGTTACTATTAATAACTATTTTTGGATTAGAAAATTTATTTAGAAAATAAATTAACTATCCTATTCTTTATTTCACTTATTTCCTAGACAAATTTCAACCATACAAAAATAATCTACATATTTTTGAAAACTATACTGCTTTTAACTTTTTAATCATCTAACCAGAAGAACCCAAGAGTCAGCCTCACTTTTGTTTTCTACTTCCTGATATTGCTAGCTAAGACAACTACCTAGTTTTTTAAAAAAATATGCAATAACTAAATAATAGCTTTGGTAGCACTACAATGGCCTAATATATAGGCTTAAAGCTTTAGTACTATCCAAAGTGTAAGAGCAACTGTTCATGTCTGAGGTATTAACTAATATCTTATCATAGAAGCATGAAGATTAAAAGCTTATGATTTCAAAAATTAACACTTAATTAAACAAATGGAGAAACTAATTCATCAAAATCTTAGGTTATGCCTATCAAGTTAAGCTTTAGTATCAGCACCAAAATTTTTTTTTATATGTAAGACTAATAAAAAAATGCAGGATAAAGTTTTTAGAAAACCCAAACAGGCAAACCATTTCTTCACACAAGTCTGAGCCATTTCCACAAGCTTTAATCTTGTTTTTATGTAAGAGTTGGCCTCATTTCATCACTGTCCTTTAACTGCAAAAGCAACTAAAATGCTTGCATGCATGTTCAAAAACTTGAAGACATTTTAAATTGTTCTTTAAGTGTGAAGAGAACAGCATGTTTATTATATGCAAAGGAAAAAGCTGTAGAAAGAAATGCTGCTGTACTTTAAAAGCAGCCATGACCACATTGCTTATGAATATCATCCTTCCTGATCTAGACACTGGCTTTTCAGCTGCTACTGCCCAAAGGCATCAACAACAAAGCTCCTTTAATCATCTCAGAGCTTGCTTTTTCTCCCCTTAATATCAATAAAATTTCTATCAGATGCAAAGACTGTCTTATAATTTGTGGCCAAGCTGCACTAATTAAAGAACCTCCAATCTTCAAGATTTCGGAAAATATCAAGTACAAAAGAGCAGCAGACTCCACACTTACAGCGTGCCTCTCAATTACAGGTTTTTTGGCAAATGTGAGCATATTTCTCACTTTTTCTATTGAGAAGAAGCTCTTTCTGTTGACACCCGTGCTTCATTCAACATTGTACGTAGTTTCTTCTACACAGACAGCAGAAAAGCATGAAAAATGCCACGTGCCTTCCCCCACCACCCGACAGTTTCCCTTCACTCATACTACCCGAAAAAGACCTTCTTTCCCAGAAAGAAACCACCTTTCAGTTTTGAAACCCAGGCTCTGTAGCAAGCATTATCATCTTTAAGGTTAGTTCCTGTGCAAGCAATACAGTTTGCTTTGGTGTAAGGGAGCTTGAGATGATCCTGCTGAACGGGCAAGGAGCCTAACCTGGCTTCCCAGCTGCCTTGGCAGAAAAAGGAGCCATGCCACAAAAGGGATAACTGAGACTTCTGGGTTTATGAAAACCTCAAGTTATTTACAGAAGGTAAATAGGATGCGATCAGGGACAATCCTTGTACTGACAAACTGAAGAATAAAATCTTACCTCCCGCTTTGATTAGGGAAATTGTTGACCATGCCTGTTGCAAGACAACATGACTGTAAACTTCCAAAATTGCTAGCAGTACTTTTGAAAGAAGTTAATAAATGGGACTACATGAGCAATGGAAACTGACTAGAGAAGGTATCTCCTGCCTTATTCTCCCAAAGCTGAAATCTGGAAGTTACCAAGTACAGTAAACTCTCTTCAAGTTGGGTGGCAAATACCTTTCCCATCAATCATGTCCCTGGACACCTTTTGCTTGCCTTCAGTCTAAAGCTAAAATAAAGCGCCTGGCCCCCTGAATTAAAGAATGTAAGAACCACAGAGAAGCTGCTTCTCCGTTCCAACACAGACAGGCACTATTTATTAAAACTACGGGATGAAAATCTGCCACTGACTCCAACGGCAACAACCTCTCTGAGGACTAATGCTTCCTAGAAAGCAAGTAAAGCCAAAAGGATTTTTCTTCAAAATCACATTTCTTCAGGTCTTCAAGAACTTGGACACTTAGCAAGGTGGATATAATGAAGAACAGAAACTCATATCCATATTGAAATTTGAATTTCCTACCCATTTCACTTCATTTTTTCATTCCATGGGTATTTATGCCTATTTGGATTGGACTAGATACTACTTGTTAAGTGCTAACCCGCAATCATGAATTCTGGATTCAATATGTGTTTGTAAAAGAAAATATTACTCTGCCTCTTCCCTAGATTTTGGGAATTGCAGAAAAATCATATCAGCTTTTACCATAAACCTCAGAACGTGAAAATGAAAAGCACCCTCTAAGAGCTACGAAGTAGATGCTGGTAAGTCCAGAGAGACACCACACTCCTGCTCTGTATGATGCTACAGTGACGCTCACCTGCGGAAAACGAAAGAGAGAGGATTTCCAAAACACGGCAAGACGTAGCTTATAACAGGCCGAGAGAAAAGGCAGTAAATGCAGCCAGATTTTTTACAAAACTCTGTTATACTTGCAGTCGTACACCAAATTAAAACCAGAAGGATTACGCGACAGTTTAAAGCAGAAAATCCAATATCCAGTCTGAGTGCCTGTCCAAAAAAGGCCAACTTTTCCACAATTAATTCCAAGTTATTCTTCCATCCTCCAGCATCCCTGCTCATGGCTGGTGAAATTACCAGCGTTGGGTGCTTGAAATCTCTCCACCTCTCCCAATTTAAAAAAAATTGGTCCCAACAGACCATACGTGACAGAACAGAGCTTGGTCCCCTACTACTGCTGCTGCTGAGATTACAGAAATGGAAAATCATTAAGACCCCCAGGGCCATTTCTCCCTTCTCCCCGCTGTGAGATCTGCTTCCTTGATTGTTTCTTGTCTAATACTAGGGACCCAAAGCAAAAACTTTCTATCAGCAATCTTGAAACCTCTGGCACAGTCTCTCAGGGCATACTACTAAGTTGTTTTAACAGGCACTTTCACCTTTTTCCCCAATTTCATGATCGCACCCCGAGTCCATAACTCCCCACTACCGGCCTATACTGTTCCCTGTTGGGTGTAACACTCATTAAATATCATTAGACAAATCACGCAACGAACACCTCCCATCACAAGTTTAGCCCATGCCTCATCAAACTGAAAGCATGAATTTTTTTAATAAACTCTTTTCACACGACCAACTCCCAGTCTCCTAATTATTACTGTCATTTTTTAAACTCCATCTATTTCACTCGCATCCTGAATAATCCCCATGTAGTCCCACCAAAACCCTGCGAAGAAGGATTATCTCCTCCACAAGTCTTTCTTACTTTTTTAAGGGCTCAGTCCAAAACCTAGAGGAATTACTATAAAAATTTCTTTTCATTTCAGGGGGCTTTAAATAATTTTACTGCTTATAATGTGTGCATATTAAAAATATCTTAAGGATCTTAAATAAATGGAAAAAAATATTTTTCCATAGGTATGGTTAGAAAAACAAGCTTGTGCTACACAGTACAGAAGACACCTTTGAAACTGCTAAGGTTTCAAGACTAGTAACACTGCAGTGCATGTGGTCTGGCTTTCTGCCCTACTCCTCCTTGCTGGCACTGCATGGCCTCCTACTCTCCCCTAAATAACCTCCACCCCTCATCCATTCTTCTCCCAGCGGACAAAAGCTGTTCCCAGCGCTCGGAGTCCCTGCTGACTCTCATTTTTCTATTACTTTCCTATGACATTAATTTCCTTCAGGTAGGAGTAAGGAAAATCGAGTCTTGACTTTTTATTCACAATTTCATCCCATGATGATTATCAATTTTCATTAATTTCTACTTGAAAAAGACAAAAGATTTTGTGATGGCTTACAAAATGTAACTTCATGCTATATATATACACAGATTCTTAATGCAGAGGTTTTTTGAGTATAAAAATTGTTTTGCAAAACACTGCCATCCCCAAATAAGTCTTTAGGCAGCTTGTGAAGTACCTGTCCCTGATTCAAACTTTACAAGGATGATCCCTGCCCTTGCAATTTCAAACACAGCCTCACGTGTATTGTACTGCAAAGACCACTTGAAAAATTACACATTGGCATCATATATTCTCTTCTTAGGCATTATTTGCTGCAGGAAATGCACATTACCATGTCAATAACTATACTAGCTGACTTTCAGGTATGGCTCAAGATATTGCCCCACGTACAAGTATACATAGCTCTCAACGATTTGCAATTTGGCTGGTTCAATACTATCACTTCTTCCTTAAGAGCACAGAAGTTGAAGTAGGTTTAGGTGGAAATCACAGCCTTTGCACTCAGTAACTGAGACTCCGCATAGGATGCGTTCATGATTTTCTCCAGGATTCATTTCTCTGACTGGTCTGATAAGGCTCGCGCTTATTTACCCGCGGGGAACCGCACAGAGCAAAGCGTCTCCCAGGCTCCACCTGGGGGTGCCCGTGCTGAGGGCCATGTTCGCGCTGGTTTATATAGACACCTACAGGTATGTGTTTACATATTTTTTACGTAATTTTGCATATCACATAATTTTTGTCCTTGTTTTGTTCTCCTCTCATCCCTCAAACAATGTGAGCAAACAGACTTTTGGAAATTGGAAAACCTGTAGATTTGTACATATGTTGATAAAGAAAACGTACCAGTTTATTTCTGAAAACTCCATCCACCCCTTTAGCCCTCAATCCCTCATTTCCATTCGTTATATTGTGTTTTAGCTTAAATGTTGTCTAAATAAACTACAAGGCTTTGCAACACAGGGACACAGCTTCAGACAAATTAAATTATCATTATGGCAACAAGAAATTAAATTACACCATCATGACAACAATCACGCAGCAATGCTGCTACACATTCAAGCAGTCATGTTTAACTCTGCCCCAAGCAATTTTGGCTAACCTCCCCCTTGCAGGGAGCAGCTCAGAAGGCTGCAGAGCTGACATGCCACCCAAATAATTTTCTCTGCTGCAGGTTGAGGTTAGCATGGCAGGAACTAACTCAAAGGATGCCAGTGTTTAATGACAGCAAGCTTCTGCTGCAAAGGCAAGGAGAGGGGGGGCATGAGTCATTGCCAAACTATGCTAAGGGAGATGCAAAAATCTAGTGCCAAAACCAGGATGCATAAACTGCAAGTACAAATTTGTTTACCGAAACACTGGTTGGGAGGGAGCACTAGAGATGATCTAGACCAAACTCTCACTTGAAGCAATACTCAGGATTTCCTGTCTTGAGTCTACTGATATTTGGGCCAGTATGATGGATCATCCCAAAACGCGCAAAGTTTGGAGAATGTTGCTGGCTGCAGTCTCTGTATAAGATGTGCGAGGCAGCATCCTCAAGCCTGCTGTCTCACGACCTCCCTCACCAGTGCTGTCCCATTCAAGCACTATGGATTGACAGTTCTACTGACAAAAAGCAGGTAACTCCCTTCCCTTTTTACTAAAGACCCCCCTGCATCATCTCTGGAGGAAAAAAACTCCAAAACTCCTAGCCCCCCCAGTAAAACCCACCTAACCTTTACAAAGCCAGCTAAAAAATGTGCTGCTTTTTCAATCTACAGAACCAGCGATTCAGCCCGCTTCCTCTTCAAACGAGGAGAGCTCACCAGAGCACTTGCTCTGGAAATATGTCAGACCAAGACATATAAGACAGATAAGCAAGGTCTGAATCTTGCAGACTCTGGCCTCAACACAAGCAGTAGGTTTGGTGAGCTGGCTGGACTGCACGCTATTTCGATTCAAGATGCTCTTCCCAATTCCTTTTCCTTCTTGGAAGTACTAATTTATGGGCAGCCTCCATACAAAGTGCCTCATTAATTACTTTTCAAAGCAAGAGTTTAGAGTGGGGGATCCTCACTTACAGCAAGAACAGCAGACTTAAGCCGGGGGATAAGCACAACGTTTTAATGTCTTTTTTCACAATTATTTTGCTTTATCACTTGCCCCTGCAAAGATGTGGCAAACTAGAGATGCGTTTGAAGAGCCGCTCAGCTCTCACCAAGGCAAAAGCACCCTCCCTTTGAGTGGCAGGGAAGTCTCAGATACATATATCCAGTCCAGTTTCACACGTGTCTGAACAGATATGGATTTCCCAACCCTCTGACATGAGTTCCCCGTTCTAATTCTAGATGATGTCCAGGGCAAAGACCTGCACAATTTCCTCTTGCACAGCTGTGAAGAAGCTAGTAAGCTCCCTGAATCTACTTTTTTTTTTTTTTCCGCAGTAATTGTCCATCAGCCTTTTCAGGCACTCACAACTGCCCCACTCAGTCAGTGACGAGAAAACTTGAAACGCTGAACTGTGGAAGTGCAATTTTGGCTGCAGCATGGGGATGAGTGTAAATAAAAAAAGAAATCCATGGGGATTGCACCCTCGTGGGTCTGATGGGACCTGAAACCACCCTCAGTGGGGCAGGAGAAAATGACAATACTGAGGGGACATAGAAAAATCTCCACATGAGGCCTGCAGTTTTGCCGATCGCTTTTTGGGTGAAAGCCATTTAATATTTGGACATCCTTCCCACTGTGGGAATCTCTTGAAAGATCCACTGTGACTTCAAAAGAGCCCTAACAGAGGAGCAGTTCAACATTTGCACTCCCTCTACACCACAAAAAAATCCCAAAGCAACAGAATAAAAGGCTCGAGCTGCGGGCACCACCCAGGAGTCACCCTATGGTCTGAATCATCAGTGCTGAGTTTGATCTCCCAGTCCACAGCAGCGAGAACTCTTGCAGGCTTCAGATGCATAATACGTAATATACTGGAATAGGGCTTCCTTTTCACATGCAAACTTTTATTTCGCTTGTAAATCTTGAGCCTCAAAATTTGCTCTGTAAATACTTTACCTGCTACCTTTCTGATAAGGAGCATAGGTGGACAGGCAAGAGCAAGATGTATTTCATCTTTTAACTACTCAAACAACAAAAATACTCCCCAAAATACAGAATTACGCTCTTTTCCTTCATAGTTTAATAGTAATATGCATAAATTTAAAGCAATTTTTTTTGTTTTCTTTCTCCTAACATTTTAATGGGATACAAAATTGTTCTTACATAAGTTTGAATAGTTTACCTAAATACCCACCTAGCAGTTTTTCCACTGCGTTCAACGGGCTTTGCAGAAAAATCAGGCCATACGGTCTTGATCCGATCTACCTTGGTTAAATCCAGTGCCTTAAAAGTTGCAGCTGCCGGTGCTGGGGAACTGGGACCCTACTGTCACACGGACAGTTTCACGTCGCATCTCTCCACACTCTTTAAAAGTTTTTACCGCCTCCTCCTAGGCATGTTATAACTCACTCATCGGGAATGTTGAAAGCATCGCCGTTCAAAAACCCGCCTGCTCGATACTCCATCGGACACCGTCCCTCTCCAAGCCAGCCCAGCCATGTGCCCAAACCCCGCTGATCCCACCGGCTCCCCAGCCCTGCCCGGTGCCTGGGGCTCCCGGCTGGCCGCTGCACCGCGCCCGGCCCCGGCCCCGCTCGGGACCCCGCCGGGCCGCGGGGGCTCGGGATTTCCTCCCCTCGCGCCCCGGGTGCTTTTCGGCGAGCTTTCCCAACCAGAAAGCGCAACCGCAGATGCAAACGCGTTTTTCCCCGGCCGGCGCTCTCAGAAAAAGTCTCGGGAGGCAGCCGGCCGCTTCGCCTCCC